CGCCACCACATCCGGCTAATTTTTGTATTTTTAGTAGAGACAGGGTTGGCCAGGCTGGTCTCGAACTCCTGACCTCAAATGATCCACCCACCTCAGCCTCCTAAAGTGCTGGGATGACAGGCATGAGCCACCACGCCTGGCCATCTTTTTGTTTTTGTTTTTTTAAATAGAGATAGGGGCTTGCTGGCTTGCCCACACTGGTCTTGAACTCCTGGGCTAAAACAATCCTCCCACCTCGGCCTCCCAAAGTGCTGGGATTGCCGGTGTGAACTACCATGCCCAGCCTTGCGCCATGTTTTAGGACCTGGTGTCAGAAGTCACACAGCATCACTACTGCCATCATTAAAGGCTCAGCAGTGTGCCATTGTCACCCCTCAGCTCCAAATCCACCCTTCCTGGGCCTGCTTTGTGCTGGCGGAGCAGGACCCTGAAACATTTCTCCTCTGCTGGCCGGCTCAGTGTGAGGCTTTGACAGGAGAAGGCGCTGGGGGTTGCAGCCAGGCCTGGCAGAGGAAGGGACCTTCCCGTCCGGCCCCTCCCTTGGTGCAGCTGCTGGGGCGAGGGGGCTTCTCCGTGAGTCTCCGCCACCCGTGGGCTGCTTCTCACAGACAACCCCAGTCTGTCGCGCTCCCCAGCAAGATCCTCGGGCACCGGGCAGGAGTTCCCGTTGGGAAAGCTCTGGCCCATATGCACCCCTTGGTGAGTTTCTCAGCCAACTGGCCAACCGGCGGGCTCCCCGCTGGACCGGCTCAGCCCTTATGCTGCGGCCACTTTCTCTACCGAGGGCAGGGCCAGCCTGCAGGTTCCCGCCCCGGAGAGCCCAGGCCCAGCCTCGGGATGGGATGTTCTTCCAGGTTCTTGGTTTCTTCCCTCATGACCCCTGTCCTAGAAATACCACTTCTGGCATTGCTATTCCTTTATTCCTCAGAGTTCTCTTGTAACCTTTTAATAGCTAAACATCCTTTTCTAGTTTATGATTCTTGATGTTACATTTTCCTGTTCAAATCACTGGTGTGGCTTCTGTCCCCTGCCTGGAACCTAACGATACAGAATTAGCGGGAGGAGTGCCCCAGGAGGGCATGAGGGGTTGTTTCCATCATCCCTAGGGTGTGACGTATGGTTGGAAACGGGGTGCCCCCGGGGCTTGCTTTGCAGCAGATTCACTGTGACCTCTGGTTAAGAGAAACAAAGGGCTGGGTGAGGTGGGTGCCGGGCGCCCAAGCTGCTGCCCTTCAGAGCAGAACAGCAAGGACGCCCCAGGACCTCGGGCCGGGGGTTCCTCCTCCGCGCACTGGGCGTTCACAGCAGTCAGACGGCTGGTGGGAGCAGCTCCTTCCCGCGGCTCCGGGGAAAAAACGTGGCAGCCCTCAGAGGAGCTCCTGTTTCTTCTCCCTGCGGGGCGGACACTGCTGAAAATCCAACATGGCTTTCAGTCCCACGCCTCACCTAACCACAGTGTCTGCTGAGTGTGCGGCCTTGCCTGCGTCCTCGCCTGAGAGGCAGAACGTTGAGAGGCTGCACCCTGACCCACAGTGTGCAGGCAGCGCCCAAACCCCGCAGGGCTCATGATCTGCTCCTCCCAGGGCGCCCCGAGGCTCCCCTGCCGGTGGGAGTGGTGGTGGCTGAGGCTGCTGAAGCTGCTGAGTTTGAAAACCCTCTACACGCCCACCTGTGAGGCCCTCGAGAGGGGCGGCGCGTCGTCCCCAAGCCAGCTCAGCCACCTCTGGTTGCCATGAGGCCTATAATCAGCATCGGATCTTAGGGACCCGGGACAGCGCCACACAGGAGACACCAGGTCATGCGGGCTTGGGAAATTTTTCCTGTAAAGGACCAAACAGTGGCCCGGTGTGGTGGCTCCCGCCTGCAATCTCAGCGCTTTGGGAGGTTGAGGCGGATGGATCACCTGATGTCAGGAGTTCGAGACGAGCCTGGCCAAAATGGCGAAACCCCACCTCTACTAAAAATACAAAAAAATTAGCTGGGCATGGTGGCAGGTTCCTGCAATCCCAGCTACGTGGGAGTCTGAGGCAAGAGGAGAATCACCTGAACCCGAGAGGCAGAGGTTGCAGTGAGCTGAGATCATGTCACTGCACTCCAGCCTGGGAAACAGAGGGAGACTCTGTCTCAAAAAAAAAAAAAAAAAAAAGACCCAACAGTAAACATCGGGCTCCGTGAGCCACATGCGGCCTCTGGCTCTCCTCCTCCCTCCTCCGTTCCTCCTCCTTTTTGGGGTGTGTGTGTGTGTGTGTGTGTTACAATCCTTGAGAACTGTAAAACCCATTCTTAACTGGAGCAGAAACCAGAGAAGGTGCCCACACCTCAGATTCCAGGCGGACGTGGCCCGGCACACCCTGGCTTACACGCTGCAAGAATTTGGGGATGTTTCAGATCGATGCTGCGGGAAGCCCGGGGAGGCTGCGCGGGGGTGGATTCAGGGAGGTTGGACCCAGGACGCCACATCGGACGCTAGAGGGGGCTGAAGTCCCTGATCTGGGAGCCTGCCGCCGCAGCCACAGCCAAGGGCTCCCTCGCCTGGCGGCTGAAGCTCGGGCCCAGAAGCCCGCAGGCCCTGAGTCCAGGACACCAGCGTTCCACGGCCTGTGGAGGAGAGAATCCGGAGGTCCACGGGGAGGAGCAGTCAGTGAGTGTGACCTGCTCGCCACACCCAGCCATGTCCTGAAGGTTCAGAGACCCGCCTTCCCGGACACGAGGAACAGCAGGCAGGGGGAGCCCCTGCACCCCAAAAGTCCTGCTACTGCTCCCTTCCAAGGCCACATGTGACCGCAGGGGTTGGGGGAAGGCGCGTAGTGCAACCGAGATGGGCTCCTTGATCTGCGCCAGGTACTAGATCCCGGGGCCGCAGCAGGACAGGAAGCAGCCGCCACCAGCAAGTCCCTCGCAGGCTGTGTGCGCCAGCGGCCACGAACTGAGCTCAGGGTGCCACGGCCTGCGCCTGGGGTGAAACGAAAGGTCACTGACTTTGGTGTGGCTTGTCTTATGAAACAATAACAGAACTCCGCGTCTGGTGGCCAAACCTCACTTGAGTCACCGCAGTGGACAGCCATGACCTCTCACCGGCTCCCAGGCTGAGCACATTCACAGACCTGGAGCCCTTGGGGTGGGGGCCCGGTCCCTCGAGGGAGCTCCCTACAAGGAATACAGCAGCACAGCCACGCCAGGGCTCCCCCAGAGGGACCTGCACCGAAAGTTAATTGTGGAACGGGGCGGGGGGGGGGGGTCGGTGAACACGCCAGTGTCTCGAGAATGACAAGACACTCGCCTCAAATGGATGCCAAGCTCTTTTTTGAGATGGAGTCTCACTCTGTCGCCCAGGCTGGAGTGCAGTGGTGTGATCGTGCTGTTACACTCCAGCCTGGGCGACAGCAATGAAACTCCGTCAAGAGAGAGAGAGGCCGGGCGCGGTGGCTCACGCCTGTAATCCCAGCACTTTGGGAGGCCGAGGCGGGTGGATCACAAGGTCAAGAGATCGAGACCATCCTGGTCAACAAGGTGAAACCCCGTCTCTACTAAAAATACGAAACATTAGCTGGGCATGGTGGCGCGTGCCTGTAATCCCAGCTACTCAGGAGGCTGAGGCCGGAGAATTGGCTGAACCCAGGAGGCGGAGGTTGCAGTGAGCCGAGATCGCGCCATTGCACTCCAGCCTGGGTAACAAGAGCGAAACTCCGTCTCAAAAAAAAAAAGAAAGAAAGAGAGAGTGGAAGGAAGGAAAGAAGGGAGGAAGGAGGGAGAGGGAGGGAGGGAGGAACAAAGGAGGGAGGGAGGGAGGGAGGGGAGAGAAAAGAAATACCTGACGCCAGGCACACTGGCTCACCCCTGTAATGCCAGCGCTTTGGGAGGCCAAAGTGGGAGGATCGCTTGAGCTCAGGAGTTCAAGACCAGCCTGGGCAATGTGGTGAGACGCCCATCTCTACAAAAAACACAAAAATTAGCCAGGCATGGTGGCACACGCCTGTGATCCTAGCTACTTAGGAGGCTGACTTGGGAGGACTGAGCCCAGGAGGTTGAGGCTGCAGTGAGCTGAGGTCACACCGCTGTACTCCAGTCTGGGCAACATAGCAAAGCCCTGTCTCACAAAAGAAGAAAGAGAAAAAACCTAAGACTGGGTCATTTATAAAAAAGAGGCTTTTTTTCTTTTGAGACGGGAATCTCGCTCTGTCGCTCAGGCTGGAGTGCAGTGGTGCGATCTCGGCTCACTGCAACCTCCACCTCCCGGGTTCAAGCGATTCTCCTGTCTCAGCCTCCCCAGTACCTGGGATTACAGGTGTGTGCCACTACGCCTGGCTGATTTTTTTTTTTTTTTTTTTTTTTTTTTTGAGACGGAGTTTCGCCCTTGTTACCCAGGCTGGAGTGCAATGGCGCGATCTCGGCTCACCGCAACCTCCGCCTCTTGGTTCAGGCAATTCTCCTGCCTCAGCCTCCTGAGTAGCTGGGATTACAGGCACGCGCCACCATGCCCAGCTGATTTTTTTTTGTATTTTTAGTAGAGACGGGGTTTCACCATGTTGACCAGGATGGTCTCGATCTCTCGACCTCGTGATCCAACCGCCTCGGCCTCCCAAAGTGCTGGGATTACAGGCGTGAGCCACCGCGCCCGGCTGATTTTTTTTTTTTTTTTTTAGACGGAGTCTCACTGTCGCCCACGCTGGAGTGCAGTGGCCCATTCTCAGCTCACTGCAGCCTCTGCCTCCTGGGTTCAAGAGGTTCCTCCAGAGTAGCTGGGATTCCAGGCATCCACTACCACAGTCAGCTAATTTTTTGTATTTTAGTGGAGACGGAGTTTCACCGTGTTGCCCAAGCAGGTCTCAAACTCCTGACTTCGTGATACACCTGCCTTGGCCTTCCAAAGTGCTGGGATTTCAGGCGTGAGCCACTGCTCCCGGCCTACTTTCTGTATTTTTAGGAGAGGCGGGGTTTCTGCATGTTGGTCAGGCTGGGGTGCAAGGTTTTAGTGAGTGGAGGTGGCTCTCAGCGGATGGGGGAAGCCAGGAGGGGATGGAGTGGGCAGGTGTCCCCCGGAGTGGGATCGCTGCGCAGCCTGGGCTCTCCTGACCGCCCCGGGGCAAACTCCACCGCGTGTCGCCCTCAGTGGCCTCCCGGAGCGCCCGCGTGCCCCGCCCCCCCCCACGCCCTCGCCCCGTCCCGCCCACGTGTCTTCTCTTCCGCCTACGTGTAGCTCTCCAAGTCCAGCCACTTGTGTTGGCCTGCGAGTGTCTTGGGGATTTCATAGGCACAAGTTGGGGACGTGGCAGGCCAGGGTGGTCTTTGGAAAACGACATTTGGGCAGGAAAACACCAATCCCCGTCCTCACTTAGGTTTGTGGGTACGGGCGGTTGGGGGGATCCCTAGCCAGGGACCACGCCCTTCTCTACCCAGCCCTGCCCTTCCCCCTTCATGAGGAGCAGGAAGTAGCAAGTACGTTTTCTTGTTTTCAACGTCCCCATGGACACTAAAGCAAAAAGTACTTTAGATGTCTTAGTGAGACAAGTCATAGGGTGGGAGATAAACCCCCACAAAAATTCAGAGGCCCCCTCACCTCAGGGCAGGTTCTGGGGCGGGGTGGGGGCAAAGTTTTGGCGCAGGTGATAATTATTGTCCTTTCGATGTTATTTGTTATATTTTTTGTAGGGGGGCGGGTCTTGCTATGTTGCCCAGGCTGGTCTTGAACTCCTGGCCTCCAGCTATCCTCAGCTGAGTGCTTTTCTGTGACAGTGAATGCTCAGAAACCACAGCCAGGATACTAAGGCGGGAACCGGGGGCTGGGGCTGGGGTGGCTTCTCCCTTGCACCCCTTTCCCCCCTCGCCTGTTTCTTAGCCCTCTAGGGAGGAACGCTTCTGCAGGGGACGCAGCCACGATTCCTTGGAAGGAGAAGTTGAACCCGGCCATGCTGAGCTTCCCCTCACCCCGATCCACAGGCAGAGAGCAGCGCGGTGGGAGAGGGGAGATCCCCGGGCTGAGCCGCTGGATGGAAGGCGCTGCTGGGCGCATTTCGGGGAACACTGTTTTACGGGGCAGAACGTTGGATGTAACGTCACTAAATGCAGCATTTTGTGTTCAGAGCCCGCGGGAACAGTGATTCCTGCACACGTTTCCTGAAAACCCGGGGAGACTCAATACTGTCATCTAAAAGGATCCCTTCTAATTAGGAGATGAGAAAGTTTCGTCTTCGCCTGCACGAGGAGGGCGCACGGAAACACGTCATTTGGAACGTCCCGGGCGCTACCATCCAGGTGGTCGGGGCCGCTTCTCTGTACGAGTCCAAGGAGGCCGAGACCTCCCGGCTGTGGTTTCGAACCCGCGGCCAGGGCGCGCGGCCGGTTGAGGAGCGCGGGCTTCGCGTTCCGCGGAGTCTGGCCCGGCGCGGCCGCCGTAGCGGGGAGGGCCTGAGCTACGGTGGCCGCGGGGCGGCGGCGGCGGCGATCGGACTCCGCGGGGCCGGCGCCGCCATGGGCAACCTGTTCGGCCGCAAGAAGCAGAGCCGCGTCACGGAGCAGGACAAGGCCATCCTGGTGAGGCCCGGGGCCGGGCGGGAGGCGGGAAGCGCGCCGCCGTCGGGTGGGGAAACTGAGGCGCGCCGCGCCGCCCGGCCGCTCCGCCCCGCGCTCCTCCTCGCCCGCGGGGCCTCGGGCCGGGGTCTCCCGCGCGGCGCGGGGGCTGCTGACCCCGCCGGCGTGGGCGCGGCCGGCGGCTGCGGGGCCGCCCCTCCCCCTGCCCCTCGCCCCCGCCGCGGTCCGAGGAGCGGCCGCCGCGCCTGGGAGCGGGACCCCGGGGTTTGCGCGCCGGTTTGCGGCGGCCCCAGCCTGAGCCCTGCCCGCCCCGGCGGCTCCGGTGGGAACGTCGGCGGCCGTGGGGGGACTCGCCCGGCAGGCCCAGGACGCGCGGGCTGGGAACAGTCCCCGAAACGGGAGCGGGGCTCGCGTTCTCGGATGCTTGCTTCTCCGAGTTTTCTGAAACAGAGATGGGTTGATTTTATACTAAAAGAGAAGTGACTGGAAATGGACGAGGGGATCTTACCCTGGCATCTGAGCCCATCAGCCATGAAAAGAAACAACGGTCGCGTTTCTCCCTAGAGAAGAGGGGCACCTCTCTGGGCACGCCCCAGCCGCCTGCAGGACAGCCCGGCCCGGCCCCCAGCTCCCCTGGCAGCCCCAAGGCGCTCCCTCCCTCTCTAAGGACTCGGCTCTGGTTTCCCTTCAAGCAGCGCTTTGCACTTGCCAAGGGTCCCTGTGGGCTCCGGGCTGTGCAGACCCGTGTTCCGGCTGCCGTAGGGCCCCCAGGATTTCGGGCCCTTGGGAACAGCGTCCTTACCACACAGTTGCACAAATGATTGCTTTTTTCTGTTTCCCTGATAACAGATGGACTCCATGCTGCCTGTGACCCTCTGCTGAGACCTGACTTTACGGCAGGGCAGCCTGGCCATACCTGCCTGCCTTTGGCCCCTGGGTCTCCCCAGCAATGGGGCTGGGCGGGGGGCACCTTTCCCTGTAGCAGTGAGAGGACCCACAAGTTTTGGCACTGGGCAGGGAGCCGGGAATGAGCCCTCTCAGGTAGAGGGAGCCCTCACTTGCCATGAGGAGCGTTAAACCCGTGGCCAGGTCCTGACGGAGCTAATGCCCCTCGGTATCGTGCCTTAAGGCTCTCATCCCTGTGCCTGCATGGGCTCAGCACTGTCTGCAGTGATGACGTTTGGAAAGCTCACGGGCCTGATGGGGCAGGACTAGCTGAAGTTCATTCCTCAATGGCCAAGCACCCTTTCTGGGGCAGCGCCTGGATGGGAGGCAGTCAGCGGGTCTGCAGGGCACATCACCGTGTGTGTATCCCTGCCCGGGGGGTGGCCAGCAAAGGGACAGCTAAAGCCCAAGGGGAGAAGCTGGGGGTGTCCGAGCCCTAACCCGGCTGTGTGGGCTGCTGGCATTTGGGTGCTCGCCATCTGCGTGTTCTCTGTTGAATCCAAATCTTTGAGTTCCTGGTAGCTGCTCCCTGGCCTGAGCCCCGAGCGTCACACCGTTGACAGGCAGCCTCCAGAGCGGCCCAACAGCAACGCCCCATCCCCGTGGTGGGCTGTGGGGTCTGGGTGACTGGTGGGGCTGTCCCATGTGTGGCAGGACGTGGAGCAGTGTCCCTGCCTTCCATCTCCCAGATGTCTCCAGCTAGTGCCACCTGTTCCCTGGGAGACAACCCTGCCCCATGAAGGACACTCGTGGAGGACCACTTGGCCTCCACGTCTGGCACTCAGTGGCATGGCCGGGGCCCGCAGCGTGGCTGGGTAACTCCAGGCCTGCTCTCTCTTGGCAGCAACTGAAGCAGCAGCGGGACAAGCTGAGGCAGTACCAGAAGAGGGTCGCCCAGCAGCTGGAGCGTGAGCGTGCCCTGGCCCGGCAGCTGCTTCGGGACGGCAGGAAGGAGTGAGCAGGCCCGGCAGCGTGGACGCCCTGTTGGCTGGGGTGGGGGCCTGGGCAGGGCCACAGCGGGTCACTCTCGGGCTTTCCTCTGCAGACGGGCCAAGCTGCTGCTCAGGAAGAAGCGATACCAGGAGCAGCTCCTGGACAGGACAGAGAGCCAGATCAGCAGCCTGGAGGCCATGGTAGGCGCTGGGTGCTTCACCCTGGGGCGCAGGTGCAGCGGGAGGCAGCTGGCCCGGCTGCGTGGACCTGGGAGCTTCTCCCGACAGCTGAAAGCCCCTCACATGCCTCAGGCTGAAGCTGACCTGGCAGTGGGGTGGGCCTGGAATCCAAGGGGAGTCTGCCGGAAGCCCATGGTCCTAAGGGGCTGGGGGGAAGGGGGCTCTCGCAGGACCGAGGTTGGAAACGCTGGGCCGCCCCGCTTGGTTTGGGTAGGTCAGGGGTCTGTGTGGGGGACTGAGTGTCCCTGGTGTTAGGGACCCAAGTGGCGTGGTTCTGCTCTCTGGTAACCAGAGCTACTAACAAGCAACCAGCACCTTCTGCAGCGTCTCCCCGGTGCCTTCTCAGTCCTGCACGTCCCCGCCTGGCAGCGCAGAGGACAGGGAGGAGCAGGGGCTGGGGTTGTCCTCACGCCCAGAAGCACGTGGTCAGCAGGGGTGTCATCCTGAGCCCTGCCCCTGGACTGCGAAGAGGGCACGCCGGACCCTCAGCGCCTGAGTCTGCTTGGTGTCCTTTTCAGGTTCAGAGTATTGAGTTCACTCAGATCGAAATGAAGGTGATGGAAGGGCTGCAGCTGGGAAATGAGTGTCTGAACAAGATGCACCAGGTGAGGCTGCAGGGTGGGGTGTGGGGAGTGGGGAGCCCAGCAGGTGAGGCTGCAGGGTGGGGTGTGGGGAGTGGGGAGCCTGCCAGGTGAGGCTGCAGGGAGGGGTGTGGGGAGTGGGGAGCCCACCACGTGGGTCTGCAGGGTGGGGCGTGGGCAGTGGGGAGCCCAGCAGGTGGGTCCGCAGGGTGGGGTGTGGGAAGTGGGGAACCCAGCAGGTGGGTCCGCAGGGTGGGGCGTGGGGAGTGGAGAGCCCAGCAGGTGGGTCCGCAGGGTGGGGCGTGGGGAGTGGGGAGCCCAGCAGGTGGGGCTGCAGGATGGGGTGCGGAGGGGTGGGGAGCCCAGCAGTGCTGGAGTTGGGGAGAGGGTGGAGAGCTTGTCCCATGGTGTCTGTGTCAGACACAGGGCAAGGGGAGGTGTGTCGGTGCTGCCTGGCAGGCAGGGAGGCAGGGACCTGAGGGTGGGGTGCAGCACAGGCTGGGAACTGTAGGAACTGGGCCCCCAGGCACCGAAGTGATCTAGAGGGGAAGACTGAGGGTGGGGAGGGAGCTGGCAAACTAATCATAGAAGGCTACCTGGGGGCTTGTGCCTGTAATCCCAGCACTCTGGGAGGCCGAGGTGGGCAGATCACCTGAGGACAGGAGTTCAAGACCAGCCTGGCCAACTTGGTGAAACCGCGTCTCTATTGATGACACAAAAATGAGCCGGGCGTGGTGTTAGGTGCCCTTAATCCCAGCTACTCAAGGGGGTGAGGCAGGAGAATCGTTTGAATCAGGAGATGGAGGTTGCAGTGAGCCAAGGTTTGTACTCCAGCCTGGGCAATGAGAGCAAAACTGTCTCCAAAATAAAAAAATAAAAAAAGGCAGCCGGGCACGGTGGCTCACGCCTGTAATCCCAGCACTTTGGGAGGCCGAGGTGGGTGGATCACGAGGTCAAGAGATCGAGACCATCCTGGCCAACATGGTGAAACCCCGTCTCTACTAAAAAAATACAAAAATTAGCTGGTCGTGGTGGTGCACGCCTGTAGTCCCAGCTACTTGGGAGGCCGAGACAAGAGAATTGCTTGAACCCGGGAGGCGGAGGTTGCAGTGAGCCGAGATCGCGCCACTGTACTCCAGCCTGGCGCCTGGCGACAAACCAAGACTCTGGCACAAAAAATAAAAATAAAAAAAGGCTTCTTGGAGGAGGTGAATACCAGCCTCGACTCCAACCTGGCATGGATGTGAAGCCCAGCACGGCCATGCCACATGCCCCCACCAACCTCATCCCAGTGCTGGCGTGGGGCCAGTGGGTGGAGCTGGTTGGAGAGTGGGGACTCACCTGGCGGGAGGCCTGGCTGTATCACTCTTGCAAGTGTCTGGTGAGTCCCAGCGGTGTGCACCAGTGAGGCAGAAGTGGCCCTTTGACCTTGCCATTCAGAGGAAATCGAGTCACTGCCCAGAATGTTCCACCTTTTGCTTATTTATTTATTTATTTATTTATTTTTGAGACAGAGTCTCACTCTGTTGCCAGGCTGGAGTGCAGTGGCGCCATCTCAGCTCCCTGCAACCTCTGCATCCCTGGTTCAGTTCTCCTGCCTCAGTCTCCCAAGTAACTGGAACTACAGCCGCACACCACCCCGCTCAGCTAATTTTTGTGTTTTTTAGTAGAGACGGGGTTTCACCATGTTGGCCAGGATGGTTGCAATCTCTTCACCTCATGATCCGCCCGCCTCGGCCTCCCACAGTGCTGGGATTCCAGGTGTGAGCCACTCGCTCGGCCCCTTTGGCTTATTTACCTGTGACGGTTAGAGCTGACTCAGGTGTGAGAAGGGCCAGCGGGCGTCAGAGCAGTGCAGTGCGGCCTCTGAAAAGACTCATCACACGGCTCCTGTGGCCTCAGGACAGGGCTGTGCCTGGGACACACATGGCCTGGCCTCATTTGAACAGGGACAGGAGCTGGGCGTGGTGGCATGTGCCTAGAGTCCCAGCTACTGGGACGGGTCGCTTGAGCCCAGCCTGGGCAACACAGTAAGACCTCCTTTCTAAAAAAATAAAAGAAATAGAGCTGGGCACAGTGGCTCATGCCTGTAAATCCCAGCACTTTGGGAGGCTGAGGTGGGTAGATCATGAGGTCAGGAGTTCAAGACCAGCCTGGCCAACACAATGAAACCCCATCTCTACTAAAAATACGAAAGATTAGCTGAGCATGGTGGCAGGTGCCTGTAGTCCCAGCTACTTGGGAGACTGAGGCAGGAGAATCGCTTGAACCCGGGAGGCGGAGGTTGTAGTAAGCCAAGATTGCGCCACCACTCTCCTGCCTCAGTGACAGAGCAAGACTCTGTCCCTAAAAATAAATAAAAACAGAGGGATGAGGCTGTGGGCCGAGGGCCCAGTAGTCTCCGTTGGGGTCCACCACCGGCCCCCCCCCGACGGCGTCAACACCCGTGTCTGCAGGTGATGTCCATTGAAGAGGTGGAGAGGATCCTGGACGAGACGCAGGAGGCCGTGGAGTACCAGCGGGTAGGTGGCACCCTGACCGGCCTGCCCCAACTGCGTGAACGCACAGGGCCACCCTCGAGGGCCAAACTGTCCCACACCCTACAGCAGCCACCTTCTCTCAAGGGGACGAGCCCCAGCCACAGGCCGCCTCCTTCCCCCACGGGGGGCCGCCGCCTCACCGCTCTCACCACCACCCGTCCTTTCGCAGCAAATAGATGAACTCCTGGCAGGAAGCTTCACTCAGGAGGATGAAGACGCCATCCTGGAGGAGCTCAGCGCAATCACTCAGGTGACAGCCCCCAGGACTGAGTGTGGTCACTCGGGGGATGGGACGGGACCCCCAGGACTGAGAGCAGTCACTCAGGCGATGGGACCCCGGAGCTCAGACCCGCAGGAATCTCCCGCCCGTGGTGATACCGCATGTGTGTCCCTTGAGCAAACGGTCCGGGGTTTGCGACTGGTTTTCCTGCCTGAGGTGCCTCCGTTTTCAGGGTTGCTCACCGGACGGTCTGGTGCAGGCGGGCTGGCCCATGCCCTGGACGGAGCGGGGATGCTGGGCCTTCTGGTGCCTCGGCCCCTTTCTGTCCCCGGCTATTATGGATGTGGTGCTTGATCCGTGGGCGGCTGCGGGCTCACATCCCACACGGGCCGTCCCCGCGGGGGCCTCGTCCTGGCTCCACACTTACATCCAGGCTCTGGGTCTGCATTCACTCCCCGGGAAAGGGTTGTCCCTCTCTGGGCCACTGCCTCAGTTTACCAAATTTGCCCTGTGACCCCAGAGCCAGCCCTGCTGCCAGCCGCCCCATCGCTCTGGCGCTGTGCTGCCTGTGGTGCCCTGAGCCCACCTGCTCACTTACTTTCTCCTGAGGGTCCGAGTCCTCGGGGGGCCTCCAGGGTAGGCCCAGCTGAGAGGCTGAAGCGCCCGTGGTGGCTTAGGCAGCTGGGTTCACTGGGACAGTGTGGTACCACGGCCCGCCCTGCAGTTGTGGACACCGTATGACCTGGGTGTCTGTGTGACCCCCCGGTCCCTGAGAGCCAGGGTCTCTGGGCTCACCCAGCGTGGCCTCTTTCTAGCTCTCGGGGCCCAGGGCCTGTTGGGAGGCTGTGGCTGCATCACACCTGGGGGATTCTGGTGGCGCCGGAAGCCGGGGCGGGAGCATACTCGGGTCTCCTGAGCAGCAGGTTCCTGTCACTTTAACTCCAGCCGACAGTGTCTGACTGGCGGGAATCCGTGTCCTCCCTGGGGGAGGCCCAGGGAGACCTGTCACCTGCTCACGGCCTTGCCCTTTGCTTCTTGCAGGAACAAATAGAGCTGCCCGAGGTGCCCTCCGAGCCCCTTCCTGAGAAGATCCCAGGTATTTCCATGCCTGATCCTTTCAAGTGGTTGGAATTCACAGACGAGGAGACTCCCAGCCCTTCCCACTTGGAGAGGTCGTCCGGCCTTCCTGGCCACGGGCGAGCCCTGGGCACCTGGCTGCGTGGCTCGGGGTGTGCATGCCTGGCCTCGGGATTGGCCTTAGGTCTCCCAGGGGTTGGGTAACTGGCTAACTGCGTAAGAGAGCGGTGCTCCCTTCAAAGAGGCACATCCAGAAATCAGAACTGGGGACAGCTGTCTTTGGCAACACGAGCTCATTCCCAGGGTCTAGCCCAGGATTCGTCAGAAATGTCACAGACAGGGTTGGCTGTCCCCAGGGCACCTTTCAGCACAGCCGGCAGCCTGCCCGCTGGGAACCTGACTTAGAATCGCCCGTCCACGTTTGTTCTGTTCCTTTTCCCATCTTTGGGTCCCGCTGGGAGGGCTGCGCTGCCCGGCCCAGTGTCCTGCACCCCGGCCTGTCTGTCAGCCCCGTCGGCTTCCTGTTCGTCACTTGCCTCCCCCAGAGCTGGCCACTCCCCTCCCTAGTATGAAGCCCCAGCGCTGGCCCTCGCCACCCCCGTGGCCTTGTCCCTCTCTGGAGGTCCCTGCCTGTGGGGTCTTGAGCATGTCATCAATGTTTCTGTTTCTTCCACAGAGAAAGTCCCTGTCAAGTCCAGGCCGAGGCAGGCGGACCTGGTGGCAGCTTCGTAACATGGCCTCCTTTGGCAGGACTCACAGGGATGCCCCGGGGACCGTGGCCAGCCCCTGACCGGGTACCCTGGAGCCCAGTGCCACGGTGCTGAGCAGAGCCGCTGCCACGCAGGCACGCGCAGGAGGACTCCAGAGCGTCTCCCGGCACTCGGGCCTGAACACGCTTGGGCACCGCTGGCCTGCCCTCATCTCTGGATGGCACTCTCTGCCAAGCCCAGCTTCTACCGGCTGTGACTTCTGGTGGCCTCGGCCTGGGCCTGACACCCCGGTGCTGTTCCCCTGCAGCCCCAGCCCCGTGTGGCTCGTGCTCTGCTGTGGGGAAGACGCCTCCAGACCTTGGGGTCCCCGCGCGCCCTCTTGCCCCTCGCTGCTCTTGTTAGCTGGTGCAGGCTTCCATGACGGGTCCCCTCCCTTGGCCTGGCTTCCCGGCGCGCCGCGGCTTCCCTGCCCATGGGGGCATCCCCAGGAGACCAGCATGTGCTGAACCTCTCCGTGCCTCTGCCTCCGCGCCCCAGATGCCCACCTTCCCTTTTGAAGGCGGCAGGCCAGGGGCATTCTTGCTGGATTGATGACTCCCGGAGCCCTGACTTCACCCCTCCACTCATGGGTCTGACTTCACCCCCGCTACTCATGGCTCTGCCCACGGGGCTCAGCCCTGCTGAGAGGACCTCCGATGCCCGGGAGATGCCACGCGGGCGAGTGTAGCATCCGAAGTTTGTCCGTAGGGGTCCCTGTGTTGGGGGCTCGTGGAACTGTGAGACCTGGGACCCTCCTGCCCTGCGGGCCCCTGAGCCACCAGCAGCCAGGACAGGAGGCTGTGGGGCATGGCGTGCCTTCCCGTCCCCGGGGCTGGTTTGGTTGTGAGGCCATCTCCCTGGGGCCATCCCTACCCGTGGGAAGCCACGAGGACAAAGGGAGCCGCCACCTCAACCCCCACGCGGGCCGGCCTGTATTAAAGTGGCCCTGCACGCCCGCTGCCTCGTGGACTTGGGGGCAGTGGGGACCCGGGTGTGGCTTCCTGTGTGGTAGCGTGGTCAGGTTGTGTGTGGCCCCCTCCCACGGTGACCCTGCCTGAAGCTCAGCTCCTTGACCAATGTGGGGATGCTCACGGTAGGGCGGCTGCCCAGCCAGACCTGGGCTCTGTGCACGTGAGATGGAGGCTCGGCCCTGATGGCCACCTCTGGGCAGCTGCCCTCTGTGACAGCCAGGGTGCCACTCTGGACGCGTCTCCGTCAAGGGACACCGGCTCCCTGTCTCCCTGGAGTAGCTTCCTGTGATCCTGAGTCTGCGGGCCGCAGTCATGCGAGGGTTGCGGACGGTGTGGGGCCCCCAGAGGGCGGCGGGTTTCGAGTCCTGGTGCCCAGGTGCGAATCTTGATGTCCAGGAAACACGCTGGGCAGGTGCCCTGAGGGGCAGCTCCACACCCCACTCCAGTGAGGGGTCTGGCTCTGCACTGCTGGGTCTCGGGACTAAAGAAGCTGAAGATCCGGGTTTGCGGGAAAGTCGTCTTTCCCTGCGTGGCAGTGGCCCTCCTGCGGTGTGCGTGTTAGCCGGGGTGATGGGGTCTTCCAACAACCCTTGCGGGTATTCTGCAGAAAAGTAGCTGGCTGAGGCTCCCTCTGTTGTCCCTGGGACTGCCAGGCAGCCTGGAGGGCATCTCACTGATGAGGCTTCAGCCCCATGACCTGCTCCCTGCAGCAGTGCGCCCCAGGCCCATGGAGCCCCAGCTGTGTGGAGGGTACCAGGAGCCTGCATCAGGGAGCTGCAGGCGTGACTGGATGGGCACTGGCTACGCTGCGTCCCAGGCCTCAGTCGCAGCCTCTCCACACCCTGCCTGTGGCGCGGACCCCTCCCTTCCCTCTCCCTCCCTGAGAACCCAGGGGCCTCCGCTGGAGACTGGGTGTTCTGGCAGCATTTTGTGGTGGGATTCTGCTCTCGGCCGTGACCGGAGCAGCTGTCCACAGTGGCCTCCCCCTTGTGCCAGGTTCCTTGTCAGCCCAGGAGGCCATCCAGGGAACACCAGTGACCGTCTGCCCTGCTGCAGGGCTGGCGGTGGCGTGGGGTCCACGTTCCCTCCTCCTGTCCGGGAAGTGAGAACCTGATCAGCCTTGTCCGTGTGCAGGTTCCTCCCTGGAGCTCGCAGGAGCCTGCCCTGACAACCCAGAGCAACCTGGAGCCAGTTCCCAGCTCTGGCATTGGGGTGACCTGGCTGGCCAGCTCCCTGTTCTGGCAGGCTAGTGGCTGCCTGTCGTCCCAGCAAGGCGCAGAGCCCAGTGCTGGCTGGAGCCTGACCAGCCTGATCTCCTAATCTAGGTTGGGGTCCTAGGGCCATGACAATCACAAATGAAACAAATTAGGAGTGGATCCTCGCGGTAGAGCTGGTGTCCTGCCAGAGATGCCTGGGGGCTGGGCAGTGCAGAGGGAGGACAGTCGAACGGGAGGAGAGGCTGCAGAGGGAAGCGCCACACAGTGGGTGGCTCAGAGAGTTGGGGAAGGGCTGGAAGAGAGGCGGAAGCAGCAACTTCGAGGGTGTTGGAGCCGGCCGGCTACAGAGGACTTCCTGGAAGCCGTGCAGGGCGCCGCTCCGAGAAGCATGGGGCGTAATGGGGAAATGGTGCCTTTGTCTTCAGAGGCTGCAGACGCTGTTGCTGGAAGGCACGCTTGGCCGTGGTGCCGGCAGTGTGGCCATGGAAATGTGTGGGACGAAATGCAGGGCCGTCGTGGACGGGGCGGGGCCCCGAGCCCCCTGCGCCTGAGCTCGGCCGGGTCCTGCGCAGAGCAGGAACGCAGGGAAGGAAGATTTGCTCCAGACTCAGATCCCAGCTTGTGGCTGGCTTGACCACAAGCCAGCCCTTTGAGCCCTGGTTTCTTCAAACGTGAAATCGTGGGGGTGAGCCCTTGGGGGCTCTTCCAGCTCTGAGTCCACTTCTGTCCCCTGCCTGTAAAGTGTTTGCATCTGTTGGCTCTTCATGGTCTCCCAGGGACTCAGCTTTAGAAACTGTCCATTTTGTGTTGCTATCACAGAATCCTTGAGACTGGGCAGTTTATAATGAAGGGACTAGCTGGCTCACAGTACTGGGAAGGTGCCAGCATCTGGCGAGGGCCACCTAACTGTGCCGTCACGTGGGGGAAGGCAGGGGGGGCCAATGCACCCATCCCAGCTGTTAGGGTGCAACCCTCAAGGCCTGACCACTGTCTAAAGGTTCTACTCTCAATACTGTCACAGGCAAATTTCAACAGGTTTTAGAGGGACAAGCATTCAAACCATAGCAGAAACTGTGGAAGGACCACCTTTAATAAGACGATCATGGTAATTAAACCCCAAATGTAGCCATGACCCATTTTACATCCTCCTGGAGAGAACAGGGGGCCTCTGGTGCTTGCGGGGCACCATCCAGCGGCCACTGCAGGTGGCCGGCAGCAGATGCTTGGAGCAGCAGTGATGGTTTGGGGTTTTGGAGGCTTGTTTTGTTTTGTTTTGTTTTTTGAGACAGGGTCTCGCTGTTGCCCAGGCTGGAGTGCCATGGTGTGATTATGGCTCACTGCAGCCTGGAACTCTGGGGCTCAAGTGATCCTCCCACCTCAGCCGCCAGAATACCTGGGACTACTGGCGTGTGCCACCACATCCAGCTAATTTGTATTACTTGTTGTGGAGACAGGGTCTTGTTGATAGCTTTTTTTTTTTTTTTTTTTTTTTTTTTTTTTCAAGATCATACTGGAAAACAAGTTAAAGATTTGACGTACTGTAATTTCAGCACGCAAGGATTCATGTAACCACTGCTGTAACCTTCCATCACCCTGAAACCCCCTCTGCTAGCCCTTCAGGGCTGCCCCTTTCCCCCAGCCCCTGGTGACCACAGATCTGCCCTCCAGCCCATACTGTTTCCCAGGAATGTCACATCAGCAGAAGCAGACCATGGTTCACCTTTCTGGCACCGTTCCCTCCACACAAAGTCTTTGTCCCTGTGAAGTTGTCACGTGTCAAATGCTTGTCCCTTTTTCCTGCTGGGTAATACTCCTGGCGCCGCTAATGCTGCTGTTCCACCATGCACATCTGGCTGGTTTTGCTGACTGTGAGTGGAGCTGCTAGGGACACTGCCACGGGGCTGAGAGCAGAGTTTCCTCTCGGTGACCCCGAGCCCTGCCTTTCTCACACACCCACCTCCCAAGACCCCAGGTGCTCTGCTGGGTCGGGGGAGGGGTTCTTCTTATTTCGGCATTGTAGTCCGTGGACCTGCCGGCAGGCCTGACAGGGCACCTGCACTGGCGGACCATGGGACCCCAGTCGCCCCCACCTGGCCTTGGCTCCCCACAACTTCAAGTAAAAACCCTTCTGGAAGGAGGGACGCCCCTGGGACTCAGCCAGCCCAGCCTTTCCCTAGGGAGTGCTGCAGGAAGCACGTGGTGGTGCATGGGCAAGGGTGTCCTCAGAGGCCAGGAGGGGCTGGGACCGCTGCTCCCCCACCACCCCTCTACCCCCACCCCAGCCCTCCCTGGCAGCGGCTGGACCTGGCTGCAGGGGAGCAGGACGGCCTTCCCCGGGATCACCAGGGACCACCTGGCTTGTTCCCCAGGAATCTGCAGCCCAGGCCCCAGCACTCCCGAGCGACTCGGGACAGCCCCTCACTGCCCGCGGAAGACCCCTGGGTGAGCCCCGGAGCGGATCCAGGGGAGAGCACCCAGTGATCTTGCGAGGGAAGTGAGCAGCCAGGCACCAGTAGTGGGGGCAGCCCCGGGAGAGGGGCTCGGGGAGTGCAACAAGCTGTCCCTGCAGCGGCCCCGTGGTTGAAGAGTGGGTTTGGGTTTGGGTTTCTCTCTTGTGGCAACAGCTGTATCGAGATATTACTCACCTGCCATCCTACTCGTTTTAAGAGTACGCTTCCAGGGTCCCGCATATCTTGACAAACCTGCCGCCATCCACACAGCCAATTTCAGAACATTTTCATCTCCTGAAGAAACTGTACGCTTCAGCCCAGCCGTCACCCTCCGGGTCCGTCTCTCCCGCCCTAGGCAGCCGCGTGCTATCTGCAAAGCCCTCTGTCCTGCACTGCCGTGTAGGTGGGATCGATGCCATGGGGCCTGCCGTGACTTTCACCTCACAGGCTTTCTGGGTTCACCTGTGCAGTTGTGTGAACCAGTGCTTTGTGTTTTTGTTTTGTTTTGTTTTGTTTTGAATTGGAGTCTCGATCTGTTGCCCAGGCTGGAGTGCAGGGGCATGATCTTGGCTCACCACAACCTCTGCCTCCCAGGCTCAAGTGATTCTCCTGCCTCAGCCTCCTGAGTAGCTGGGATTACAGGTGCCCGCCACCACGCCTGGCTAATTTTTGTATTTTTAGTAGACACGGGGGTTTTGCCATGTTGCCCAGGCCGGTCGTGAACTCCTAACCTCAGGTGGTCCGCCTGTCTCGGCCCCCCCAACTGGATGTTCACCCACATGAAGAATGGCCACAGTTTTCCACCGTGGCTGCGGCTTCACACTCCAGCAGCGTGTGGCGGTGCCGGGCCCCCCACGGCCTCACCAGCGCTGGTTCTTATCGATTCCAGCAACTTGCGGGCACCAGGTGGAATGTCATGTCAGTGTGGTTTTGATCGGCATCTCTCTGATGCCTCATGGTGTTGAGCATTTTTTCGCGGGGTTTACTGGCCATTTGTGTGTCTTGGAGAAATGTCTATTTGGATCGTTTGCCTGTTTTTAACTGGGCTAGTTCTCTTTGTATTGAGTTGTAGTGCTTTATTCAGGATACTAGACCCTCATCAGATACGTGATTTGCAAATATTTGCACCATTCTTGGGTTGTCTTTTTACCTTTTGATGATGCCCTTTGAAGCACAAAGGTTTTTAATTTTGATGAAATCCGATTTATTCTTGTTCCTTGTGCTTTCGGTGTCACAGCTAAGGAACCGCTGCCTAATCCAAGATCATGAAGATCTGTGCCTGTTTCTTCTTCTTAAGAGTTTTATATAGTCAGGCAAGTGGCATGCACCTGTAGTCCCAGCTACTCGGGAGGCTGAGGCT